AAAAAATAATAATTACTGAATATAGAAATTTTGAAAATATGCCGTGCATAAACGCAATAATATTAAATAAATTAATTCATAATTTTTCGATAATTAAAAAAAATTAAATATTAAGAAATGCATTCCAAACAATTGAGTCCAAACTGAAAAAAAAATATTTAGAATTACAAAATTACCAATTATAAATTAAAAAATAAATAATAAATGCAATTGCAAGAGTATACCACAGTTTTGACAAACAAAATATCCTTTTTAGCATTCAATTTAGTTGTTTAAGAACATTATAAAAATATGAAATAATTTATTGCTAGTTTGTTTTTTTTTTCTCTTCTCTAGAAATTCAAAATTATGAAAATTCAAAAATTCCAAAAAAAAAATTAAATAACTCTTATAAGCAATGAGTTAAAAATGTATGTATAAATAAAAAATAGCAACACTATATGAATATTTGTAAAATAACAATCAATTCCTTATAAATAAATAAATTATTGAAAATATTTCAAATTAATTTTAAAGAAAAGTCTAAGAGTGTTTCATTCAAGGGGATTTTTTATTTTTTTTTAAAGATCATTATCGGTGTTTGAAAGTTCTTTATTCAAATTGTTAACCCTCTACGGCGTAGATTCAGAAGGAATGGACCAATATTGTCCATTTTGTATCGGTCCTAAATAAATGATCTAAATATAAATATTATCATTCCATATTCATCTCAGATTTCTGGTTGAGAGTAATATTTAGAAATATTTTCGCAAGTTAGGACAGAACAAGTTAAAAAGCAGTAAGTTCGGCCGGGAAGAACTTTGGATACCCTCCATCATTTGGAACTAATTTGGAAATAAAATCCCTAAAAAATTCTGTTAAAATTTAAAAAATACTGAATATAACCGTTATATTGGTGTCTATACGACGTGGACCCACACAGGCATTGTTTGTCGTAATTCAAATTCGGAACTTGAAATAAACGGTGAATAATGTAGCTAAAATCATCAAAATATCGTATATAGGGAGGTACCGTTATATCGGAGCTGTGCGAAGACCTGGCCCAGCATAGACAATTTTCTGTCATAAGCTGTAGCATCCATTACGAACTTCAAATACGGCATTTCAAACAATTTCGGTAAGTATTGCACCTAAACTCGTCAAAATACCGAATACAGGGAGGTACCGGTATATGAGGCCTATACGAAGACCTGGATCTGCATAGACAATTTTCTGTCACAGACTGTAGTTTCCATTACGAGCTCTAAATGCGTAATTTGAAAAAATTCCGGTGAATAATGACGCTAAAATCACCAAAAAAAACCGAATATAGGGAGGTACCTTTATATGGGGGCTATATGAAGACGTGGACCTGCACAGATAATTTTCTGTCTTATGCTGTAGTATCTATTGCGAACTTCAAATACCAAATTTTAAACAATTCCGGTGAATAATGTAGCTAAAATCATCAAAATACCGAATATCGGGAGGTACCGTTATATGGGGGCTATACAAAGACCTGCACAGACATTTTTCTGTCTTAGGCTGTAGTATCCATTTCGAACTTCAAATACCAGATTTGAAAAAATTCCGGTGAATAATGTCGCTAAAATCATCAAAATACCGAATATCGGGAGGTACCATTATATGGGGGCTATACGAAGACGTGGACCTGCACAGATAATTTTCTGTCTTATGCTGTAGTATCCATTGCGAACTTCAAATACCAAATTTTAAACAATTCCGGTGAATAATGTAGCTAAAATCATCAAAATACCGAATATTGGGAGGTACCGTTATATGGGGGCTATATGAAAACGTGGACCTACATGACCTATTTACGAACTTAACCTGCCTACCTCCATAGTATGGTGGAGGCTTTTTTCAAAATCTTGAACCTTGTAGGGAGGTACCAGGTGAAATTTTCGAATCTCTACCATCTTTATGCCAGATCTTGTGTTGATAGAAATATTGAGATGTATGGAATCGGATGTTAATTTCGCGTTTTATGAGCTTCATGAACATTCAAAATTGTGATCCTTTTTGGGGGAGGTACCAGAAGGAATGGTCCAATTTCTACCATCTTAATAATAAATCTTGTGTTAATAGAATTATTGAAATGTGCCAATGGGCCGTTTTATGAGCTTCGTGGATATTCGAAATTTTGACCCTTTTTGTGAGGGAGGTACCAGAATGAGTGGATCAATTCATCCCATATTCGCAGCAAATTTTTTTTCTAGTAGAAGTAATGGGATGTGTGAAATATGAAGAGAACTGGATGCTTATTTCGGATTTCATGATCTATTTGGTAATTCAAAAATTTGACTCTTTGTGGGGGAGGTGCCAGAAGGAATGGTCCCATCTCTACCATCTTTATAACAGATCTTGTGTTGATGGATATATTGAAATGTGCGAGGTCTGAATGGAATTTCGCAATTGACGAGCTTTATAGATATTCAAATTTTATACCCTTTGTGGGGGAGCAATGTGCCGATGTATTTCATTTTCACACCAGACCTTGGACAAAGACTATCAGACTCGTACATCACATTTTATAAGAGTTATAATTATTCAAACCTGACTTAGCACCGATGAAAATATTAGAACTTGCAAAGTTTGAGCAAAAACGAATTATCCTCTGTCTTTATGTGCAGTTATATGGTTTTTTGGAAAATTCTATTTTTTATGTGGTAGGTACAAGAAAGAGTGTACCGATATTTCCCATATCCGGAATCGATCTATGTTTGATAATAATATTACGATGTACCAAGTTTGGACCAAATCGGATACTCTCTTCGAGAGTTATCGTGCGCACCAACTAGACAGACAGACGGATGGACATCGGTAGATCGATTCCAAATTATCGTGCGCACCAGCTAGACAGACAGGCGGATGGACATCGCTAGATCGATTCCAAATGTCCTGAAACGGCGTTGGTCCAAACAGACCCTTGGTCTGAAACCGTTCTGCCGGGCAGAACTTTGAATACACTCCATCATTTGGAACGAATTTGGAAACAAAATCCCTAAAAAATTCTGTTAAAATTTTAAAAATATCAAATATAGCCGTTATATTGGTGTCTATACGACGTGGACCCACACAGGCATTGTTTGTCATAAGTCAAATTCGGAACTTGATCATACACGTTTTGCCCGTATCAAATGATACATGCTCTCTTTAATCATTTGGATGAGGGTATAAAAAGGACCAAATAGACCCCGCCGGTGACTCGTATGAGGGTTAAAATTTCCAACCAAAATATTCCTCTTATTTTTATCTGCAATATTGCCGAAAACTCGATATATCTAAAATGCATGGAGTCTGAGGAATCATGATACGAAATTTTCCTAAAGTGTGGGGGCGAACCTGCCCCTCTCTATTTGGATTACTTTTCGATGTGAACTTTTAAAGCACCGATACACGAGTCCTCTTTTTTATACCCTCCACCATAGTATGTAGGGTATATTAAATTTGTCATTCCCTTTATAACACCTCGAAATATACATTTTAGACCCCACAAAGTATATATTCTTGATCAGCATAAAATTCTATGTCGATTTAGCGATGTCCGTCCATGTATCCGTCTGTCCTTCTGGCTTACGTTAAAAAAATTTTACTCAAATGTATATTATGTCTGCAAGACTTTTGGTATTGGAAATGGGGGCTATACGTCTTCCTATAGCCAGAAAATTGCCTGTACAGGTCCACGTCTTCGTATAGTCTCCATATAATGGCACCTCCCGATATTCGGTATTTTGATGATTTTAGCTATATTATTCACCGAAATTGTTTAAAATTTGGTATTTGAAATCTGTAATGGATACTACAACCTATGACAGAAAATTCCCTGTGCAGGTCCACGTCTTCGTATGGCCCCCATAAAACGGTACCTCCCGATATTCGGTATTTTAATTATTTAAGCGACATTATTCTCCGGAAATGTTTCAAATTTGGTATTTGAATTTCCTAATGGATACTACGGCCTATACAGAAAATTCTCTGTGCAGGTCCACATTTTCGTATAGCCCCCATACAACGGCACCTCCCGATATTGGGTATTTTGATGATATAATCGACATTATTCTCCGGAATTGTTTAAAATTTTGTATTTGAAGTTCGTAATGGATACTACAGCCGGAATTATTTCAAATTTTGTATTTGAAGTTCGTAATGAATACTACAGCCTACGACAGAAAATTGTCCGCCCAGGTCCTCGTCTTCGTATAGCTCTGATATAACGGTACCTCCCGATATTCGGTATTTTGATGATTTTAGCGACATTTTTCACCGGAATTGTTTCAAATTTTGTATTTGAAGTTCGTAATGGATACTACAGCCCCCCCGTATAGCCCCCATTATAACGGCACCTCCCGATATTCGGTATTTTGATGATTTTTAGCGACATTATTTACCGGAATTGTTTCAAATTTGGTATTTGAAGTTCGTAATGGATACTACAGCCTACGACAGAAAATTCTCTGTGCAGGTCCACGTCTTCGTATAGCTCCCCATATAACAGCACCACCCAATATTCGGTATTTTGATGATTTAAGTGACATTATTCTACGGAAATGTTTCAAATTTGGTATTTGAAGTTCCTAATGGATACTACGGCCTATGGCGGAAAATTCTCTGTGCAGGTCCACGTCTTTGTATAGCCCTCATATAACGACACCTTCCGATTTTAGCGACATTATTCACCGGAATTGTGTCAAATTTGGTATTTGAAGTTCGTAATGGATACTACAGCCTATGGCAGAAAATTCTCTGTGCAGGTCCACGTCTTCGTATAGCCCTCATATAACGGTACGTTACGGATATTATTTAATCGTATAACCCTTATTTAGAGAGACCAAAATGTACTAAAGATGTTCGGTACATCACACCACAAATCTACAGTTATTATATTCAAATACAATGTGTGACAATTCAATCCCCTCGACTATTTTCGAGCGGAACTACGCCGATATGAACATCAACAAATTAACACCTTTCTTGTTTGGCGGAGTGGTGTCGGCGATGATATTTTTAGAAATATTTTCTTTACTTTTCGTTTTCGCCGGCGAGTGTTGCTCCCTAGCTGCGACTGATTCTGGCTGCTGCTGCTGCTGGGGTGCAAATTATTCGCTCCGCCGTGTCGGGAGATAACTTAATTTATTAGCACAAATTTCAATAATTAATTGAAATGTTAAATAGAACAACAAGAAAAAAAGAAGAAGAAGAAGACGGCGAGGAGGACTAGCTTCGGCTGGAAATCTCAATAATTTTCCATAGATTTGTTTTCTTGTTGCGGGAGACTGATTTTGCACAGTTGATTGGAAATTGTCGCCGCGAACGCACCGCTTAGTTGGTGTTGTCAAAGTGTTAACTTGGGAACGGGTTTTACGGAACGGTCCCCCCCCCCAAAAAAAAAAAGAGAAATTTCGAAAATGGCCAATGAAGAAGATATTGTCCACAGTGTAACGGGAAATTTCGGTCGCTGGCAATTGCGTACCATTATTTTGGTATTTTTGTGTAAAATTCCCACCTCCTGGTTTATGGCTTGTGTTATTTACACGGCTCCGGTTCCTCAGAAAACGGATTATTATTGTAAACCCACCGCCATAGATAATGGTTTGGGAGAAAATACCAATCAATCCCATTTGGAGGCATGGATCCAAAAGACATATCCCTCACATGAAGATGAACAGAAAACAGATCGTGAATTTCAATTTGATCAGTGTTATATCCATAAGCCTGTGGCGTCGGGAGAACTTGCCAACTACACGAATCCCTTTGACAAACCACTGAGGGATCAAAATTCCGCTACAATTGTGCCTTGCGATCATTTCGAACATATTGCCGAATATAAATCGTTGGTAACGGAATTCGATTTGGTTTGTTCACGCCAACTGTTGGTGTCGGTGACACAGTCGTTTCATGCCCTGGGGGCATTGATTGGTGGCTTTATGGCAGTGAAGTTACTGAAGAGGTAAACGTTCGGATCCCCTCTCCACTCTTTGAGAATGATAAGAGCATTTCTCCCTTTTTTCCAGTGTAAGTCCCAAGCGCTTGATGTTGTATGGTATGATCGGACAAATCATCTGCGGCAATATGACGGGATTGGTCAACACTTTTGTGCTACATGTCTACTATCGATGCCTGACCTCGATATTTTGTGCCTTTATGTATACGTCGGGACAAGTGATATGTAAGTAAAGGAAGTTTATAAAAAAAAATCTGCAAAAAAGGCGGATAATTCAGATAGCATTCGGGCAGGGCCGACTTTATGATACCCTACACCACTTTGCTAATTTAGTAGAGCTCCGTATAACAAAGTTTTTGTGGGAGAATTCAATCATACACGCTATGATTATAATTGTAATTTAAAGTTCAAAGGACTAAATATGCCGAAGCATTTGTATCTTTTAAATTCGGACTTGTATTGCCCATTTGGGGCACAATTAATTCGAAATCGGATAAAAATATATATGGGAGCTATATCCAAATCGGAACCGATCTCGATAAAATTTGGCTTAGATATTTCTGAGCTGTATTTGCAATATTTCCCCAAATATTGTTGTCACAGAGTGCCTATTACGGCAGCGGAGGACAAAAATAACAAATCGGATGAACAATATATATGGGAGCTATATCTATATCTGAACCGATCTTCAGCAAATTTGACATACTAGCTTCTAGATTCAATTCGGTCGTAAGTGCCAAATTCCATCCCATTTGGACAAATATTAGACGTTTGGTGCACAATAAAAGGTAAATCGGACGAAGTTATATATGGGAGCTATATCCAAATCTGAACCGATCTCAATAAAATTTAGCAAATGTATTTCCGAGCTGAATTTGCTATATTTCCCCAAATATTGTTGTTACAGAGTACCTATTACGGCAGCGGAGGACAAGAATAACAAATCGGATGAACAATATATATGGGAGCTATAGCTATATCTGAACCGATCTTCACCAAATTTGACATACTATCTTCTAGACTCAATTCGGTCGTAAGCGCCAAATTTCATCCCATTTGGGCAAATATTAGACGTTTGGTGCACAATAAAAGGTAAATCGGAAGAAGTTATATATGGGAGCTATATCAAAATCTGGACCGATCTCGATAAAATTTAGCAAATGTATTTCTGAGCTGTATTTGATATATTTCCCCAAATAATGTTGTTACAGAGTGCATATTGCGGCTGCGGAGGACAAAAATAACAAATCGGATGAACAATATATATGGGAGCTATAACTATATCTGAACCGATCTTCACCAAATTTGGCATACTACCTTCTAGACTCAATTCGGTCGTAAGTGCCAAATTTCATCCAATTTGAGCAAATATTAGACGTTTGGTGCACAATAAATGGTAAATCGGACGAAGTTATATATGGGAGCTATATCCAAATCGGAACCGATCTCGATAAAATTTGGCTAAGATATTTCTGAGCTGTATTTGCAATATTTCCCTAAATATTGTTGTTATAGAGTGCCTATTACGGCAGCGGAGGACAAAAATAACAAATCGGATGAACAATATATATGGGAGCTATAGCTATATCTGAACCGATCTTCACCAAATTTGACATACTATCTTCTAGACTAAATTCGGTCGTAAGTGCCAAATTTCATCCCATTTGGGCAAATATTACACGTTTGGTGCACAATAAAAGGTAAATCGGAAAAAGTTATATGTGGGAGCTATATCCAAATCTGGACCGATCTCGATAAAATTTTGCAAATGTATTTCTGAGCTGTATTTGATATATTTCTCCAAATAATGTTGTTACAGAGTGCATATTACGGCTGCGGAGGACAAAAATAACAAATCGGATGAACAATATATATGGGAGCTATAGCTATATCTGAACCGATTTCGATAAAATTTGGCATACTTATTTTCAGGTCTAATCTGATCGTACGTGCAAAATTCCATACTATTCGGACTGATATTACACGTTTGGTGCACAGTAAAAGGCAAATCGGACGAAGATATATGTATATATATAACTTTTGACCGATTACCTCCAATTTCAATAGGGTTCGTCCTTGGGCCAAACAAATGATTTGTGCAAAATTTCATCTGGATAGGGCAATAAATGTTTACAAAAATACATGGACAGACGGACGGACGAGCATGCATAAATCGACTCAGAATGTGATTCTATGCAGATCATCAAAAGGAACTATGGGTCTATCTCGTTTCCTGTTGCCTGTTACAAACAAATGCACAAAGACATAATACCCTGACCACCTTGTGGTGTAGGGTATAAAAAGGCACGAAAAGTACTAAAATGTTTAAACAAAGTATTACGGAATGAGTTAGAATTCTGAAATTTGGAAATTCGTACTAAAAGGGTACGAAAAGTACTAAATATTGAATACTTTATATTGGACAAACGGAGGAAGCTAGAACTGGAAATTTGGATTGACATTTTGGAATAAAAGCCACTAATAGACGTACCGAATGGTTTTTGAAAATTCGGTCTTTAGATTAGGAAAAGTTTAAAAATTGTACTAAAGTTCTAAAATTTTACCATTTGGTACCATGAAATGAACTAGAATTCTGAAATTTGAGATGAAAGTCGCTGATGGAGTGCAGGATACATGTACCAACAGGTTTTTGGGAACTCGAACATTAAGTTTAAGAAAAGTTCTAAATTAGTACTAAACTTCTAAATTGGTACCTTATGATACCCTGAAATAGGATAGAATTCTGTAATTTGGAAAGAGGATCACTGATGCAGTGTATGATAGATTTACAAAAGAGTTTTTGGAAATTCGCATTATAAGTGTACGAAAATTACTAAAGTGTACTATATTTGGTACCATTTCGTATTAAGTGAACGTTTAGAGCTAAAAATTTGAAATTCGGAATGGGAATCGAGGTTGAAATTCGGAATGGGAATCGAGGTTGAGGATTAGAGTCGATGTAAAGAGGTAGTTTTGGTAGAGTGTGTACGCATGTATACGAAAAGTACTGAACGGTACTAAATTTAGTACAATTTGAATTTGGAGGAACGGATGGAGCTGGAATCCTGCAATTTGAAAAAACAATACGGCGGAGTCTAAGACTAGGATATGGGAGAAATTTTCGAAATTTGTACTTATGTGCACGAAAAGTACTAAAAAGTACTAAATTTGATACAAGTTCGATTTGGGATTGGCCAAAAGAGTTAGAATTCTGAAATTTCGAAATAAGATTACTATTGCTTTCTGCGACTGAGGAATGTAGGTAGTTTTTAGAAATTCGTACTTATGTGTACTAAATGGTACTAAATTTGGTACAATTTGCATTTTTGCCCCGACGGATGTGGATTATATTTTTATGTTATCCGAAGGACGCGGATAATAATTTTATACTATCCGAAGGAAGTGGATAAAATTGATTCGTATCCATTGGAGGATCATCCACCTCCTACAAAGTTGTATATTATCCGAAGGGCGTGGATAACGTTTCTATGTTATCCGAGGGACGTAGATAATATATTTATTTAATTCGAAGAATGTGGAAATTGTTTTTAAGTCATCCAAAGGTTATCCTTGCACAATGTTTCCACATTTAATTTTTCTGGCTAAAAATATTTTAACATCTTTTCATAATAAAAATTGGCCACCGCCATATCTAAATCCTAGAAACCAACAGTGACCTCAATATCAAATTTCAGAATTCAATCTCCATCCATTCACTCAACGGCAAATTTCGTAGCATTTAGTATTTTTCGAATAGTTCTAGTACACATATTCAGAACAATCTCCAAATCTACACTTCAAATACGAACCATAACCTTAATATCGAATTTCTGGATTTCAACTCTTTCAGTTTCTCCCATTACTAGATTTAGTACCATCTAGTTCGGTAATGGTAGGCGTATCCAAAACCAGCTCTACCCCTCAACCACAGGCACCATTGATGATATCCATATCAAATTTCAGGATTTCAGCTGTATTTCATCATCCAATTCCAATTTTAGTACTATTTAGTACTTTTCGTACAATTATAGTACACATTTCCAAAACCACCTACATATCTTAATTCCAGATTCCTTCAGAGACCTCGATATCAAATTTGAAAATTCCAGTCCTATCCCTTCACCCAGTACCAAATTTAGTACCATCTAGTACTTTTCGTACAAATATAGGACGTATTTTCAACCCAACTCCATATCTTAACCAAGGAGGCCAACAGTAACACCAATATCGAAATTCAGGATTACAGCTCTATTTTTCCACACAATACCAATTGTAGTACTTTTCGTAAAATTATAGTTTCAAAACCACCTACATATCTCAACCCCAGATACCAATAGAGACATTAGTATCAAATTTCGGGATTCCGTACCTATCCCTTTATCCAATACCAAATTTAGTACATTTTAACAACTATAGAACGAATTTCCAAAATCATATCCATATCTTAACCACAGACACCAACAGCGACATCTATAAAAAATTTGACGATTCTAGCCCTTTCCCCTCAACCAATTCAAAATCAAGTATTATCGGTATTTTTCGTACAAATATGAGACGCATTTCCAAACCACCACCAAATTTAAAACACAGTTACCATCAATAACTAAATACGAACTTTCAGAATTTTACCTCTATCACTTCACTCAATACCAAAAATAGTACTATTTCGTACAATTATGGCACATATTTCCAAAACCACATACATATCTGAAATCCAAATACCAACAGAGACCTCGATATCAAATTTGAACATTCAAGCCCTATCCCTTCACCCAGTTTTTTCAAGCCATCTTCATATCTTAACCAAGGAGGTTGCCTGTCTCTATTGGTATTTGGGATTCAGATATGACGCCTATATCGAATTTCAAGATTTAAGCTCTATTTCTCCACACAATACCAAATTTAGTACTTTTCGTACAATTATAGTACACATTTCCAAAACCAACCAACCAACCAACCAGATACCAACAGAGATATCAGTATCAAATTTCGGATAGTACGAATTTCCAAAACCATCTCCATAGCGACAGCGATATCTATAACAAATTTAAGGATTTTAGCCCTTTCCCCTCATCCAGTACCAAATTTAGTACCATTCAGTACTTTTCGTACAAATATAGGACGCATTTCCATACCACCGCCAAATTTCAAACACTGTTACCATCAATAACCTAAATACAAAGTTTCAGAATTTTATCTCCATTACTTTACTCAATACTTAATACAGTACAATTTAGTACTTTTCGTGTATTAGTAGTACCCATTTCAAACTTACTTTCCAATCTGAATTCTCATAAAAAATTAAGTTTAATCCCTATCTGTTTAATGTTAGAATTTCGAAAAACCCTTTGGTACATCTATCCTGCATTCCATGAGTAGCTCACAATCCAAATTTCTGATATTTATACCCTACACCACAAGGTGGTCAGGGTATTATGTCTTTGTGCATTTTTTTGTAACAGGCAAAAGGAAACGAGATAGACCCATAGTTCCTTTTGATGATCTGCATATAAGCAGATTCTGAGTCGATTTATGCATGTCCGTCCGTCCGTCTGTCCATGTATTCTTGTGAACAAAATGCAGGTCGCATTTATTATCCGATTGAGATGAAATTTTGCAAACAACATTTGTTTGGCCCAAGGACGAACCCTATTGAAATTGGAGATAATCGGTAAAAATTTAGATATAGCTCCCATATATATCTTCGTCCGATTTGCCTTTTATTGTGCACCAAACGTGTAATATCAGCCCGAATATTATGGAATTTTGCACATACAACCAAATTAGGCCTGAAAAAAAGTATGCCAAATTTTATCGAAATCGGTTCAGATATAGCTATAGCTCCCATATATAATGTTCATCCGATTTGTTATTTTTGTCCTCCGCAGCCGTAATATGCACTCTGTAACAACAATATTTGGGGATATATATCAAATGCAGCTCAGAAATACTTTTGCTAAATTTTATCGAGATCGGTTCAGATTTGGATATAGCTCCCATATATAACTTCGTCCGATTTTCCTTTGATTGGGCACCAAACGTCTAATATTTGTCCAAATGGGATGGAATTTGGCACATACGACCGAATTTAGTCTAGAAGGTAGATCGGTTCAGATATAGTTATAGCTCCCATATATATTGTTCATCCGATTTATTGTATTTGTTACCCACAGCCGTAATATGCACTCCGTATCAACGATATTCAGGGAAATATATAAAATACAGCTCAGAAATATCTTTGCCAAATTTTATCGAAATCAGTTCAGATTTGGATATAGTTCCCATATATATTTTTATCCGATTTCAAATTAATTTCGCACCAAATGGGCAATACAAGTCCGAATTTAAAAGATACAAATGCTTCGGCATATTTAGTCCTTTGAATTTTAAATTATAACTATAATCATAGAGTGTATGATTGAATTCTCCCATAAAAACTTTTAATTATTAAGTGGAGCTCAACTAAATTAGCAAAGTGGTGTAGGGTATCATAAATTCGGCCCCGCCCGACTTTTGGACTTTCTTTAGTGGTTTTCAATTATAAATTAAATCAACGTTTTCTGACGATCTTCAACATTTTATTTTAATACCATAACCAATAAATTTCGATCATCTAAAATAACTTCGATATAATGATTACTCCAATATCCAAAAATGTGTATATCCTTCTATTTTTAGTGTCTGACATAACGGCGGGCAGGGCACGAACCATGACAATAATCTTGTCTGAGCTGTTCTCCTCCATTGGCCTTATCCTCCTACCGGGCATTTCAATATTTTTCGATAGCTGGAGTCATTTGTATGTTGCCATATCATCGTCACTGCTATTGCTGGTGATTCCGCATAGGTAAGTCCCAACTCAAGATTTCAAATCGAATATATTTCATTTTTCATTGATCCCCCAGATGGATAGCCGACAGCCCCCGATGGTTGCTGCAGCATCAGAAAATCGAAACAACCCTCAAACTTTTATTAGAATCGGCTGCATTCAATAATCGCACGATACCTCTGGACATGGAACAACGTCTGGAACAGTTGGCCACCGATTTACAAAATAAACCTGTTGCCGGTTATTGGTCCCTGTGGGATGGTAAATCACCGCGCTTCTTCATCGTTCTAATACACTGGGCCTGGGCTGTTTCGGTGGTCATCTACAGCGTTATGGTTGTGATGATTCGTTTCGTAGATACCACGCAGCTACATGTGAACACTTCGTGTTTGGGTGAGGTGATGAATGGAATGGAATTGGAGATACTATTACAATTTTTTATTTCATAGGATTCGCCGAAATGTTGGGAATATTCCTGGGTCTTTATTTCACCCTTTACACCCGGCATCGCTGGTTATGGTCCGGCTATTTGATGTTGTTTGCCGGCGGGATTACCTACCTTATTTGGTTTATACCCGAATCGAGTGAGTCATATAATACAATGTTATCCAAAAAAAAAAAAAAAAAAAAAAAAATGAAAAAAGTATTGATTTTTTTAAGGACTTAGATAATGTATCTACATTATCTAAATGACATGGATAATGTATCTTAGTTATCCAAGCGATGTGGATAATGTATCTATGTTATCCAAATGACATGGATAATGTATCTATGTTATTCAAGTGAAGTGGATAGTGTATCTACATTGTCCAAATGGCGTGGATAATGTATCTTCGTTATCCAAGTGACCTGAATAATGTATCCACGTTATCTTAATGCCATGGATAATGTATCTACCTTATCCAATCACATGGATAATGTATCTACCTTATCAAATTACATGGATAATGTATCTTCGTTATCCAAACGATGTGGATAATGTATCTACGCTATACAAACAACAGAAATATCTGACATGGATAATGTATCTTCGTTATCCAAGCGATGTGGATAATGTATCTATGGTATCCAAATGACATGGATAATGTATCTATGTAATCCAAATGACGTGAATAGTGTATCTACATTGTCCAAATGGCGTGGATAATGTATCTACGTTATCCAAATGACCTGAATAATGTATCCACGTTATCTTAATGCCATGGATAACGTATCTACCTTATCCAATTACATGGATAATGTATCTTCGTTATCCAAACGATGTGGATAATGTATCTACCTTATCAAAATGACATGGATAATGTATCTACGCTATCTAAACAACGTGAATAATGTATCTACCTTATCCAAATGACATGGATAATGTATCTACGCTATCCAAACAACATGAATAATGTATCAACCATATCTAAATGACATGGATAATGTATCTTCGTTATCCAAGCGATGTGGATAATGTATCTATGGTATCCAAATGACATGGATAATGTATCTATGTTATCCAAATGACGTGGATAGTGTATCTACATTCTCCAAATGGCGAGGATAATGTATCTACGTTATCCAAGTGACCTGAATAATGTATCCACGTTATCTTAATGCCATGGATAACGTATCTACCTTATCCAGTTACATGGATAATGTATCTTCGTTATCCAAACAATATGGATAATGTATCTACGTTATCAAAATGACATGGATAATGTATATACGCTATCTAAACAACGTGAATAATGTATCTTCGTTATTCAAACGATGTGGATAATGTATCTACGCTATCTAAACAACGTGAATAATGTATCAACCTTATCTGACATGGATAATGTATCTTCGTTATCCAAGCGATGTGGATAATGTATTTATGGTATCCAAATGACATGGATAATGTATTTATGTTATCCAAATGACGTGAATAGTTAATCTACATTGTCCAAATGGCGTGGATAATGTATCTACGTCCAAGTGACCTGAATAATGTATCCACGTTATCTTAATGCCATGGATAATGTATCTACCGTATCCAATTACATGGATAATGTATCTTCGTTATCCAAACAATATGGATAATGTATCTACGTTATCAAAATTACATGGATATGTATCTACCTTATCTAAATGACGTGGATAATGTATCTTCGTTATCCAAGCATGGATATGCATCTACCTTATCTAAATGACGTGGATAATGTATCTTCGTTATCCAAGCGATGTGGATAATGTATCTATGGTATCCAAATGACATGGACACTGTGTCTATGTTATCCAAACGACGTGGATAGTGTATCTACATTGTCCAAATGGCGTGGATAATGTATCTACGTTATCCAAGTGACCTGAATAATGTATCCACGTTATCTTAATGCCATGGATAATGTATCTACCTTATCCAATTACATGGATAATGTATCTTCGTTATTCAAACGATGTGGATAATTTATCTACGCTATCAAAATGACATGGATAATGTGTCTACGCTGTCCAAACAACATGAATAATGGATAATGTATCTTCGTTATCCAAGCGATGTGGATAATGTATTTATGGTATCCAAATGACATGGATAATGTATTTATGTTATCCAAATGACGTGAATAGTGTATCTACATTGTCCAAATGGCGTGGATAATGTATCTACGTCCAAGTGACCTGAATAATGTATCCACGTTATCTTAATGCCATGGATAATGTATCTACCGTATCCAATTACATGGATAATGTATCTTCGTTATCCAAACAATATGGATAATGTATCTACGTTATCAAAATTACATGGATAATGTATCTACGCTATCCAAACAACATGGATAATGTATCAACCATATCTAAATGACATGGATAATGTATCTTCGTTATCCAAGCGATGTGGATAATGTATCTATGGTATCCAAATGACATGGATACTGTGTCTATGTTATCCAAATGACGTGGATAGTGTATCTACATTGTCCAAATGGCGTGGATAATGTATCTACGTTATCCAAGTGACCTGAATAATGTATCCACGTTATCTTAATGCCATGGATAATGTATCTACCTTATCCAATTACATGGATAATGTATCTTCGTTATTCAAACGATGTGGATAATTTATCTACGCTATCAAAATGACATGGATAATGTGTCTACGCTGTCCAAACAACATGAATAATGTATCAACCTTATCTAAATGACATGGATAATGTATCTTCGTTATCCAAGCGATGTGGATAATGTGTCTATGGTATCCAAATGACATGGATAATGTATCTATGTTATCCAAATGACGTGAATAGTGTATCTACATTGTCCAAATGGCGTGGATAATGTATCTACGTCCAAGTGACCTGAATAATGTATCCACGTTATCTTAATGCCATGGATAATGTATCTACCGTATCCAATTACATGGATAATGTATCTTCGTTATCCAAACAATATGGATAATGTATATACGTTATCAAAATTACATGGATAATGTATCTACGCTATCCAAACAACATGAATAATGTATCAACCATATCTAAGTGACATGGATAATGTATCTTCGTTATCCAAGCGATGTGGATAATGTATCTATGGTATCCAAATGACATGGATAATGTATCTATGTTATCCAAATGACGTGAATAGTGTATCTACATTGTCCAAATGGCGTGGATAATGTATCTACGTTATCCAAACGATGTGGATAATGTATCTATGGTATCCAAATGACATGGATAATGTATCTACGCTATCCAAACAAAATGAATAATGTATCAACCTTATCTAAATGACATGGATAATGTATCTTCGGATAATGTATCTATGGTATCCAAATGACATGCATAATGTATCTATGTTATCCAAATGACGTGGATAGTGTATCTACATTCTCCAAATGGCGTGGATAATGTATCTACGTTATCCAAGTGACCTGAATAATGTATCCACGTTATCTTAATGCCATGGATAATGTATCTACCTTATCCAATTACATGGATAGTATATCTACCTTATCCAATTACATGGATAATGTATCTACCTTATCCAATTACATAGATAATGTATCTACATTGTCCAAAGGTCGTGGATGACGTATCTACGTTATCCAAACAACGTGGATAATGTATCTACCTTATCCAAATTACACGGATAATGTATCTTCGTTATCCAAATGATGTGGATAATGTATCTACTTTATCAAAATGTCATGGATAATGTATCTACATTATCCAAATGGCGTGAATATTGTATCTACACTACCGAAACAAAGTGAATAATGCATCTTAATTATCCAAATGACGTGGATAATGTATCTATATGATAAGGATAATGTATCTACGTGAATTAAGTATTTACATTATCCAAGCTACTTGGATAATGTATCTACGTTATCCAAATGACATGGATTATGTATCTACGTTATCCAAACAACGTAAATACTGTATCTACGTTATCCAAATGACGTGAATAATGTATCTAAATTATCCCAATGACGTGGATAATGTATCTATGCTATCCAAATGATGTGGATAATGTATCTACGTTATTCAAACGATGAGAATAATGTATCTACGTTATCCAAATGATGAGATTAATGTATCTACGTTATCCCAATGGAATGGATAATGTATCTATATCATCCAAACAACATGAGTAATGTATCTACGTTCTCCAAAAGGTATGAAAAATTTGTCTAAATTATCCAAAGACGTGAATGATGTATCTACGTTGTCCAAAGATGTAGACAATGTATCTGCTTTATCCAAAAATTGTGGATAATGTATCTACGTTATCCAAATAATATGGATAATGTATCTATGTTATCCAAATGATGTGGATAATGTATCTAAGTTATCTAAATAATGTGTTTAATGTATCTACGTTATTCAAATAATGTGGATAATGTATCTACGTTATTCAAATAATGTGGATAATGTATCTACGTAATCTGAATGGGGTGAATAATATATCTCCCGTATCCAAACGATGTGGAAATGTATCTACGTCATCCAAATGGAGTGGATGATGTATCTACGCAATGCAAACGATGAGTATAATGTATCTACATTATCCAAATGATGTGGATAATGTATCTGAGTTATCGAAATGACATGGATAATGTATCTACGTTATACAAATGGCATGCATAATGTATCTACCTTATCCAAGCGATGTGGATAATGTATCTGCATTATCCAAATGACATGGATAATGCATCTACGTTATCCAAATGGCATAGATAATGTATCTACGTCATCCAAATAGCGTGGATAATGTATCTACGTCATCAAAATAACAGGAATAATGCATCTACATATGTTATCCAAATGATGTTGACGATTCGCACAATGTGACTATGTTATTCAAATTATGTGACTAATGTATCTACGTTATTTAAATTTGTACTTCTTCGGAATAAGTTTAATTAAGTATCCAATTCATCTGTATAAATTAGAAAAAATACTTTATCCTCTTCCCTCTTTTCAGTAAAAGACGCCCACAAGGGAGCCTATGAAATGATATTTTGGCTATTCCTAAAACTAGTCAACTCCGCATCGCTGGTCATCCTGACCGTCTGCTCAGGAGAATTGGTTTCGCCCGAAAAGAGAGCAATTCTCTCACTCTCCACGGGATGCTTTAGCCGTTTTTGGCTCTCGATTGGTCCATTTATTTTGGTACTCATCAAAATACATCGGCTGCTGCCCATTACAATATTTGCCACCTTGGCTTTAAGTAGCGGTGCCCTTATGTGTTTCCTCAACATTCACTTCTGCAACGATGAACAACCGAAAGTAAAGAAGATACCCACACCAAATACTTATCGGAGGAAATCTTCGACAATTCTGCTGCGAAGACTTAGTTCAGTATTGGAAGTCAATGGATCGGATGGTAGCAATTCGGATTTGGGTTGTGACAATCCCTCGCTGTCGGTTAGCATTGAGGAGTTTTGGGAAATGTCAAAAGAGTTGCCCGATGAAGATTCTCTGAAAATGGATGCCATTGTGGCGGCAAATACACGAAGGAATTCGTGTATTTAGGGAGAGTGTGTGTATTTATAAGAAGGAGGAAGTTCGGAAATTGTGTAAAACAGTATTTAAAATGTATTTTAGTTATGAAAGAATTTTAAGAATTTAAAATTGATTTTGTTGTTGTTTTAATCGAAGGTGAGGGTTTTTAATTTTAGATTGTGCCGACACGAGACGAACACCCTTAGTGGGTTATAAACTATTTTTCGTCCAGTAAGATTCCAGTAGATTGGTCTCGTGGTGAGTTCCGTTCTATACACAAAGGCTCTTTTAAAAAACCTTGAGTATTTGATACTTAATACGATAATAACGTAGAGTCCTATGATTTTCTTCACCCTGCCGTCGAAGGTTCAGCTGTGAATTAAATCTTTGTCCCCAACTGAAAATAGTCTGAGAAGAGTTAAAAATGTTATCGCCACCAGTTGCAATTTTTATGGCTTAGCGCCATCTATTTAACATCCTCCAAACCTCATGCTGTTCTCTGCCCATTAGAGCGAGTATTTGCTAACCCCAACAACTGGTTCGTGTCGATACTACTAGAATTACTCAAAATTCTTAAAAATATGTTCCCACTGAGATTGTTTTTTTTTTTCTATATTCATAATTTACGATATTTATCGTAAATTTACGTTCCAAATGGGATGAGAACAAAAAATTAGGTACAATAACAGCATGTGTGCGAAAAGTAATTAAAGCTTCCAAATTGGTAGGATGAAGTTTTTTAACGGATTAAGATAAAATCGAGCATTTTTATATGGTATTCAAAATTAAGAAGCATACTTGATACAAGGAGGTGGTCAAGGCAATGTGTGCTGAAGTGTACCAATCGTACCAAATGGCACCATAGTTGGCACAAAATGCTGCAAAAATTTGGCATGGAAATTAACTAGAAATTATGAGTGTTTGTATTAGGATAACAGTGAACGTGATTAGCATGTGGACTTGGAAAGGCGTAATGTATGGAGTAAAAAAATTGTTACTAAATTTGGTACCAGAAGAAGTGAAATAAATGAATTATTATGGCACAGTCTATAGAGACTCCCTGGCCCTCCAGCTCGTCTCGTCTATAGAGACTCCCTGGCCCTCCAGCTTGTCTATAGAGGCGCCCTGGCCCTCCAGCTCGTCTATAGAGACTCCCTGGCCCTCCAGCTCGTCTATAGAGACTCCCTGGCCCTCCAGCTCGTCTATAGAGACTCCCTGGCCCTCCAGCTCGTCTATAGAGACTCCCTGGCCCTCCAGCTCGTCTATAGAGACTCCCTGGCCCTCCAGCTCGTCTATAGAGACTCCCTGGCCCTCCAGCTCGTCTATAGAGACTCCCTGGCCTTGCAGCTCGTCTATGGAGACTCCCTGGCCCTCCAGCTCGTCTCGTCTATAGAGACTCCCTGGCCCTCCAGCTCGTCTCGTCTATAGAGACTCCCTGGCCCTCCAGCTCGTCTCGTCTATAGAGACTCCCTGGTCCTCCAGCTCGTCTCGTCTATAGAGACTCCCTGGCCCTCCAGCTCGGCTATAGAGACTCCCTGGCCCTCCAGCTCGTCTCGTCTATAGAGACTCCCTGGCCCTCCAGCTCGTCTCGTCTATAGGGACTCCCGGGCCCTTCAGCTCGTCCAATATAAGACCTCTACTCACTTACATCCCAACTCTATATATCGTGTAAACGATTCGATTCAACTGAACCTCCCTAGCCCATTTGCAACCTGTGTTAACTAACTTTCACCTGATTTTTTTGCAAAATCTGTGCGACCCACTAAATTTTTATTCAAACTTCGTAGCATTCACACAGACTTCCTAATTAATATTACGAGCAAGAGAAATATTTTTTTTTTTTTTTTGGCTGAGAGCAAAACTCTTGACCAACCACACGTTTTGTATACAAAACGCCAAAACAAACTGGTAAGCGGAGGTGCAAAACTTTTTTATTGTATGAAAACAAACAAGAAAGCCCTCTCCCGCCAAACATCAGCAACAACAACAATAGCGCTAACAACAAATCCCAAAAAATTATAAAATTAATTTCCTATACAAACCGAGATTGTTTAAAGCAAACAGCTGAGCTGGGAGCAACTCTCAAGCGTGTGCCGTGCATAAATCTCAAAACTTGTTTAGTTGAAAAGTAGCTAGCTTGCGGAACGCGTGACCAAATATTCGAATAGCGGAAATTAACGAAAAGCAAAAAAAACACAAAAAAAAAAAAATAAAAAAAATCCCCCCTCTTTTCGATTCGCCAATGACCTCTAGTCCGAACAGCGAAGACGTGGTAACCCAAATTACTGGAAATTTTGGAAAATGGCAACTCAAAACCTTGATTTTCATCTGCCTGTGCAAAATTCCAGCCACCTGGTTTATGGCCTGCATTAGCTTTACAGCACCCGTGCCACAGACGGCGGAGTTTCTCTGTATTCCACCGGAGAGAGATGTGGATCATCACACACTGCATCCGGCTGAGTTATGGCTAAAAAATCAAACATCGGTTGGGGGAGAAATGTTGGAGAAAACAGACCGTGAATTTTTCATTGATCAATGTTACACCTATCGTCTGACGAATGGCACAAATCGAACGGAATATGAATGGAAAATTACGGCACGAAATAGAAGCGGTCTGTTTGGTAATTCAGAGATGGAATTAGACGAAGTACCATGTGAACATTTTGAACATCGAGCGGAATATAAGTCAGTGGTGACACAATTCGATTTGGTGTGTTCGCGTGAAATGTTGGTCTCGTTGACGCAGGCTTTTCATGCCCTCGGTGGGCTCATTGGCGGTCTGATGGCAATGAATATTTTGAAATTGTAAGTTGGATATCATGGAAAAGAATAGCTTCCGTAAGAAAAATAAAGATTTCTATACAGACAGACTACCTGATCACCAGGTCTTCTATAGGGACTACCGGACCACCAGCTCGTCTATAGAGACTCCCTGGCCCTTCAGCTCGCCTATATTGACCCCCTGGCCCTTCAGCTCGCCTATAGAGACCCCCTGGTCTTTCAGCTCGCCTGTAGAGACTTCCTGATCACCTACTCGTCTATAGAGACTCCCAGATCACCAACTCGTCTCGGCTGCCTTGACTTCAACTTGTCTGTACAGACACCCTGGCCAACAGCTCGTCTATAGAGATACCCTGGACTTTCAACTCGTCTCTATAGATGCCCTGGCCCTTCAACTCTTCTATAGAGACTCACTGGCCCTTCAGCTCGCCTATAGAGACTCCCTGGCCCTCCAGATCGACTATAGATACTCACTAGCCCTTCAGCTCGTCTATAGAGACTCCCTGGCCCTTCAGCTCGCCTATAGAGACTCACTGGCCCTTCAGCTCGCCTATAGAGACTCCCTGGCCCTCCAGATCGACTATAGATACTCACTAGCCCTTCAGCTCGTCTATAGAGACTCACTGGCCCTTTAGCTCGTTTATGGAGACTCATCAGCGCGTTTATAGAGGCTCTCTGGCCCTTCAGCTCGTTTGTACAGACTCCCTGATCTTCAGCTCGTCTAAAGAGACTCCCTGTTCACCAGCTCGTCTAAAGAGACTCCCTGTTCACCAGCTCGACTAAAGAGACTCCCTGTTCACCAGCTCGTCTATAGAGACTCCCTGGCCCTCCAGCTCGTCTATAGAGACTCCCTGGCCCTCCAGCTCGTCTATAGAGAGTCCCTGCCCTTTAGCTCGCCTATAGAGACTCCCTGGCCCTTTAGCTCGTTTATGGAGACTCATCAGCGCGTTTATAGAGGCTCTCTGGCCCTTCAGCACGTTTGTACAGACTCCCTGATCTTCAGCTCGTCTAAAGAGACTCCCTGATCGCCAGGTCGTCTATAGAGACTCCCTGATCGCCAGGTCGAGACTCCCTGGCCCTCCAGCTCGTCAATAGAGACTCCCTGGCCCTCCAGCTCGTCTATAGAGACTCCCTGGCCCTCCAGCTCGTCTATAGAGACTCCCTGGCCCTCCAGCTCGTCTATAGAGACTCCGTGGCCCTCCAGCTCGTCTATAGAGACTCCCTGGCCCTCCAGCTCGTCTATAGAGACTCCCTGGCCCTCCAGCTCGTCTATAGAGACTCCCTGGCCCTCCAGCTCGTCAATAGAGACTCCCTGGCCCTCCAGCTTGTCTATAGAGACTCCCTGGCCCTCCAGCTCGTCTATAGATACTCCCTGCTCCTCCAGCTCGTCTATAGAGACTCCCTGGTCTTCAGCTCGTCTAAAGACACTCCCTGGCCACCAGCTCGTCTATAGAGACTCCCTGGCCACCAGCTCGTCTATAGAGACCCCCTGGCCACCAGCTCGTCTAAAGAGACTTCCAGGCCCTTCAGCTCATTTATAGTGACTCCCTGCGGCCTTCAGCTCGTCTATAGAACTAGACCGTCAGTTCGCCTATAGGGACTCCCAGGACAATCAGCTCGTCTGAAGAGACTTTCAGTCCCGTTTATAGAACTAGACCTTCAGCTCGTTTATAGAGACTCTCTGGCCCTTCAGTTCGTCTATAGAGACTCCCTGGTTTTTCAGCTCGCCTATAGAGACTCCCTGGGCCTTCAGCTCGCCTATAGAGACTCCCTGGCTCTTCAGCTCCTCTCTAGAGACTCCCTGATCGCCAGCTCCTATATAGGGACTCTCTGGTCGATAGAGACTCCCTTATCTCTAACTCGTCTGTATCATTCAGCTTTCTTATATAAACTCTGGTTCGCTTCACCTCGTCTATGAATAGACTATCACCCTCTCCTTTACTTTATAGTGGAACCCTAGATTTAAATCTCTACCAGTACTTTGAAAAGACTTTATATCCACAACTTCTTTCTCCTTTCAGTGTTAGCCCGAAGCGCCTGATGATGTACGGCATTATTGGTCAAATCATTTGTGGAAATCTAACTGGATTAGTGTCCACCTTCATACTCCATGTTTATAATCGATGTTTAACAGCGGCATTTTGTTCCTTTATGACGGTCTCCGGTCAGGTTATAGGTAAGAACAACAACAACTGTAATTAATTCCCAAATAATTCCAGGGTTATCTAAGGTCACGACCTAAATCGCCGAATTTATCAAATGGCAATTTAAGTGGTCCGTAGATGTCAGCACTGTATGCCAAAAAAAATATTGGACACCAAATAGTTTATACGACGCGCCACCTACTGGGCAATGTAACATCTGCAATATTAGTAAAGGTTATAACCACTGAGAACCTCCATGGTCGTAGTTTTTCAATTCATCGTAAAATTGCACCCAACTTCATGGCAGATGCATAAGTGTACGTTCCGGCACTCCATGCTGGTTTAAAAAATGTATATAGACCCAGTGTCATTCCGACCAAACTGGATAATTCGAAACGCCATTTACCTATCGATACAGCAAATGCAATGGTAGCAAGGTGTCAAACAACTGATGAACTGCAAGGACGTATTTTATAAATCATTTTATAAAGATGGTGCCCAATTAAAAAAAAATCAATACGTGTGGCTAAACAGAACTTTAACAACCGGAACAACCGGAAACTCCTTCCTTTCTAAGGCTTAAAATGGAATATGAATTTCCATCAGTGTTTGGATAGAGACTTGGGCTAACCAATGAACCCAGCATGAGTCTATTTCTGTGTTTTAATCTCTTCTGACAGCCCGCTTTAAATATTAAAGAGTACATCAGAAATAAATTTAAAATATCCCAATTTTTAAATCTTCTCATTCCAGTTACCGACATCACATCGGGTAAACAACGCACCATCATACTTGTATTATCCGAACTTTTTGCATCGATTGCCCTCATCCTGCTGCCAGGAGTTTCTATGTACTGTGATAGCTGGACCTATCTCTACATAGCCATATCTTCATCGCTTCTTCTATTCATAATACCACACAGGTAGACCTACACTACATCCTACAAATACTCGTGAAAGAGTTTTTAAAAGTTTCTCTTTCATTTCAGATTCATAACCGACAGTCCACGATGGCATCTCAAAAAGGGAAATATGAATGAAACCCTTCGAATTTTATCTGAAGCAGCCACCATCAACTGTCGAGAAATTCCCAACGATGTTTTGTCACGTTTGGAGCAAAAATCTTGGCAAATGCGAAATAGTCGCTCACCCTCATATTGGACCATCTGGGATGGTAAAACGCCGAGACGCTTTATCGTCATGCTCCACTGGAACTGGTCGGTATCGGTGGTTGTCTATACTGTGATGATTTTGATGATACGCCTGTTGGGTGTTAAATATATGCACGTGAATACATTTTGTTTGGGTAAGTTTACAGAAGGACCAAGCTGAAGGCCAGAGAGTTTCCAGGGCACAGGAGTGCCTATAGACGAGCTGAAGGGCCAGGGAGTATCTACAGAAGAGCTGAAGGTCAGAGAGTCTCTATTGACGAACTGAATGTCAGGGAGTATCTATAGACGAGCTGAAGATCAGGGAGTATCTATAGACGAGCTGAATTTCAGGAAGTCTCTATAGACGTGCTGGAGGTCAGAAAGTCTCTATAGACGAGCAGACGTTTAGGGAGTCTCTATAGGTCAGCTGAAAGTCAGGAAGTCTCTATAGGCGAACTGAAGTCCAGGGGGTCTCTATAGGCGAGCCGAAGTAAAGGAAATTTCTATAGACGAGCTGAAGGCCGCAGGGAGTCTCTGTAGGCGAGCTGAAGGGCAGGAAGTCTCTATAGGCGAGCTGAAAGGCCAAGAAGTCTCACAAAAAAGCCAGGGTGTGTCTATAGACGAGCTGAAGGGCAGGGAGTCTTTATGGGCGAACTGAAGGCTAGGGAATCTCTATATACGAGCTGAAGATTAGGAAGTCTCAACAAACGGGCCTAGGGTGTCTTTATATCTTTAGACGAGCTGAAGCCCAGGAAGCCTATATAGGCCAAAGGTGATTCTTTAAACGAGCTAAAGGTCATGAAGTCTCTATAGGCGACCTAAAGGCCAGGGAGTCTCCATTTACAATCTGAAGTCTCTATTTTCCATAAAAATTGTATATATTCCGATTATGCCAATCATTTGATCTCTCTCCTTTTTAGGCTTTGCTGAAATGCTGGGCATTGCAATGGGCCTCTACATTATCCTCTACACCAGAAGACACTGGCTGCATTCTGGATTTCTCTTGATTTTTGCTGGCTTTACTACTTACTTTATATGGCTCTCCCCGGATGGAGGTAAGGCTATTGCCTGCCAAAGGTCTTGGAAATTTTAAGTTGCAAAGCTATTTTCATTTCAGTCAAAGAGTCTCGCAAAGCTGGCTATGAACTGTGTTTTTGGCTCATCCTGAAAATGCTGAACTCCGCAGTGTTGGTCGTCTTATCCACTCGTACCGCTGAAATGGTTTCGGTCGAAAAACGACCAATGCTTATGCTATCCACCGGATGCTTCAGTAAGTTCTGGTTAACCGTGGTACCATTTTCATTGGTTGTGGGAAAAATCCACTATCTCCTGCCGATGACAATGTTTGCAACCGCCGCCATTAGTAGTGGCTTGATGCTGTGTTACTTCAATCGCTATTATCAAAATTCGGAGGTTAAGAAGGGTTCAGTTCCTGCACAGAATGGTGGATATCGCAAGCGATCTTCATTGTTATTTGAAGACAATTAAAGTATTTCATTAAATTTTAGAGAATTTTTAAATATTTATAACTTAAATAAAATTTACAGTATTTATTTATCAACTAAGTTAAAATTTTCTTTTTGATTATTATAGGCGAGCTGAAGCATCAGGGAGTCGCTATAGACGAGCTGAAGCGTCAGGGAGTCTCTATAGACGAGCTGAAACGTCAGGGAGTCTCTATAGACGAGCTGAAGCGTCAGGGAGTCTCTATAGACGAGCTGAAGCGTCAGGGAGTCTCTATAGACGAGCTGAAGCGTCAGGGAGTCTCTATAGACGAGCTGAAGCGTCAGGGAGTCTCTATAGACGAGCTGAAGCGTCAGGGAGTCTCTATAGGCGAGCTGAAGCGTCAGGGAGTCTCCATAGACGAGCTGGTCATCAGGGAGTCTCTATAGGCGAGCTGAGGGATGAGGGAGTCTCTAAAGACGAGCTGGTGATCAGGGAGTCTCTATAGGCGAGCTGAAGCGTCAGGGAGTCTCTATAGACGAGCTGAAGCGTCAGGGAGTCTCTATAGACGAGCTGAAGCGTCAGGGAGTCTCTATAGACGAGCTGAAGCGTCAGGGAGTCTCTATAGACGAGCTGAAGCGTCAGGGAGTCTCTATAGACGAGCTGAAGCGTCAGGGAGTCTCTATAGACGAGCTGAAGCGTCAGGGAGTCTCTATAGACGAGCTGAAGCGTCAGGGAGTCTCTATAGACGAGCTGAAGCGTCAGGGAGTCTCTATAGACGAGCTGAAGCGTCAGGGAGTCTCTATAGACGAGCTGAAGCGTCAGGGAGTCTCTACAGACGAGCTGAAGCGTCAGGGAGTCTCTACAGACGAGCTGAAGCGTCTGGGAGTCTCTATAGGCGAGCTGAAGCGTCTGGGAGTCTCTATAGGCGAGCTGAAGCGTCAGGGAGTCTCTATAGGCGAGCTGAAGCGTCAGGGAGTCTCCATAGACGAGCTGGTCATCAGGGAGTCTCTATAGGCGAGCTGAGGGATGAGGGAGTCTCTAAAGACGAGCTGGTGATCAGGGAGTCTCTATAGGCGAGCTGAAGCGTCAGGGAGTCTCCATAGACGAGCTGGTCATCAGGGAGTCTCTATAGGCGAGCTGAGGGATGAGGGAGTCTCTAAAGACGAGCTGGTGATCAGGGAGTCTCTATAGGCGAGCTGAAGCGTCAGGGAGTCTCTATAGGCGAGCTGAAGCGTCAGGGAGTCTCCATAGACGAGCTGGTCATCAGGGAGTCTCTATAGGCGAGCTGAGGGATGAGGGAGTCTCTAAAGACGAGCTGGTGATCAGGGAGTCTCTATAGGCGAGCTGAAGCGTCAGGGAGTCTCTATAGACGAGCTGAAACGTCAGGGAGTCTCTATAGACGAGCTGAAGCGTCAGGGAGTCTCTACAGACGAGCTGAAGCGTCAGGGAGTCTCTATAGACGAGCTGAAGCGTCTGGGAGTCTCTATAGGCGAGCTGAAGCGTCAGGGAGTCTCTATAGGCGAGCTGAAGCGTCAGGGAGTCTCTATAGGCGAGCTGAAGCGTCAGGGAGTCTCCATAGACGAGCTGGTCATCAGGGAGTCTCTATAGGCGAGCTGAGGGATGAGGGAGTCTCTAAAGACGAGCTGGTGATCAGGGAGTCTCTATAGGCGAGCTGAAGCGTCAGGGAGTCTCTATAGACGAGCTGAAGCGTCAGGGAGTCTCTATAGACGAGCTGAAGCGTCAGGGAGTCTCTATAGACGAGCTGAAGCGTCAGGGAGTCTCTATAGACGAGCTGAAGCGTCAGGGAGTCTCTATAGACGAGCTGAAGCGTCAGGGAGTCTCTATAGACGAGCTGAAGCGTCAGGGAGTCTCTATAGACGAGCTGCAGCGTCAGGGAGTCTCTATAGACGAGCTGAAGCGTCAGGGAGTCTCTACAGACGAGCTGAAGCGTCAGGGAGTCTCTACAGACGAGCTGAAGCGTCAGGGAGTCTCTACAGACGAGCTGAAGCGTCAGGGAGTCTCTACAGACGAGCTGAAGCGTCAGGGAGTCTCTATAGACGAGCTGAAGCGTCTGGGAGTCTCTATATGCGAGCTGAAGCGTCAGGGAGTCTCTATAGGCGAGCTGAAGCGTCAGGGAGTCTCTATAGGCGAGCTGAAGCGTCAGGGAGTCTCCATAGACGAGCTGGTCATCAGGGAGTCTCTATAGGCGAGCTGAGGGATGAGGGAGTCTCTAAAGACGAGCTGGTGATCAGGGAGTCTCTATAGGCGAGCTGAAGCGTCAGGGAGTCTCTATAGACGAGCTGAAGCGTCAGGGAGTCTCTATAGACGAGCTGAAGCGTCAGGGAGTCTCTATAGACGAGCTGAAGCGTCAGGGAGTCTCTATAGACGAGCTGAAGCGTCAGGGAGTCTCTATAGACGAGCTGAAGCGTCAGGGAGTCTCTATAGACGAGCTGAAGCGTCAGGGAGTCTCTATAGACGAGCTGAAGCGTCAGGGAGTCTCTATAGACGAGCTGAAGCGTCAGGGAGTCTCTATAGGCGAGCTGAAGCGTCAGGGAGTCTCTATAGGCGAGCTGAAGCGTCAGGGAGTCTCTATAGACGAGTTGAAGCGTCTGGGAGTCTCTATAGGCGAGCTGAAGCGTCAGGGAGTCTCTATAGGCGAGCTGAAGCGTCAGGGAGTCTCCATAGATGAGCTGGTTATCAGGGAGTCTCTATAGGCGAGCTGAAGCGTCAGGGAGTCTCTATAGGCGAGCTGAAGCGTCAGGGAGTCTCTATAGACGAGCTGAAGCGTCAGGGAGTCTCTATAGACGAGCTGAAGCTTCAGGGAGTCTCTATAGACGAGCTGAAGCGTCAGGGAGTCTCTATAGACGAGCTGAAGCGTCTGGGAGTCTCTATAGACGAGCTGAAGCGTCTGGGAGTCTCTATAGACGAGTTGAAGCGTCTGGGAATCTCTATAGACGAGCTGAAGCGTCAGGGAGTCTCTATAGACGAGCTGAAGCGTCAGGGAGTCTCTATAGACGAGCTGAAGCGTCAGGGAGTCTCTATAGACGAGCTGTTGATCAGGGAGTCTCTATAGACGAGCTGGTCGTCAGGGTGTCTCTATAGACGAGCTGGTCGTCAGGGAGTCTCTATTGACGAGCTGGTGATCAGGCAGTCTCTAAAGACGAGCTGGTCGTCAGGGTGTCTCTATAGACGAGCTGGTCGTCAGGGAGTCTCTATTGACGAGCTGGTGATCAGGCAGTCTCTAAAGACGAGCTGGTGATCAGACAGTCTCTATAGACGAGCTGGTCATCGGGGAGTCTCTATAGACGAGCTGGTCATCGAGACGAGCCTATATTTCCCATATATTTTTCATATATTCATATAAACCCATTCATTTGTTCTCTCTCCCTCTCTCTCCTTTCTCTCTCTCTATTCTTCGCTCAAATACAAAGAGAGTCTTGTCACCTTTAACATCGTCATTTTAATCGCTTTAAAACCACTTTCAACAAATTTCATTTTCAAATGGGTTAATTAACACTAAAACCTCCCGACTTTAATTAAATATTTACAGGGTAAACATTTGAGCGGCAAACTAACGTTGACATTACTTGGCGTAATGAACTGGCCCAGCGTTACATGATATCGCGCCGACAATTTTCAATTTCCGCTTGCATGTCTTGGCAATCCTTTAGTCTGTCTGTCTGTAAAATGCGCAGCCAAGACAAGGAAGCTATAAAAATATAAAAATTTATTATTTATTAATGGACAAACAAGGGGGGAAGGCAAATAAGATAAACACCGCAATGGCAGTAATAACAAGAAACAAATAATTCGAATAAGAATTTCAATTTAATTGAATTGAAAATGCATTATCCAAATAGCGCCACCATTTGTAAAGAATGGAAAAGTATAGAAATGGATGTGGGAGAACTGCAAGTCAATGAGGTAATATTGTTTGTTGTTAGTTTTTTTTTTATAATTTCAATAATTAATTCATAATTATTATTAGCAACTGATTAACATAATTTGCCAGAATTTGTTTTTTATTGCCTTTGGGAAAATTCTCAAGATTGTTTTGATTTTTATTTATAAAGGTATAAGTAACTGCTATAGAGGCTTTTCAGAGCCCTAATCCGATCTCTAAAGTCTGTGAGGCATTCAAGCCGTACTAAAAGGACTTCTCATAAAAAAGAGCCATGAACTTCTGATGTGACAGGAAGTCTTTATTGAGGAACTGAATTGGTAGGAAGTTTATTTAGACCAGCATAGAATCTGAAAGCGATATGTGTTTTATGTGGACGATATAAAGGATCAATGGAATTCTGAGTAAAGCGATTTGAGGATAAACGGGAACTGACTGGCTAAACGGGGATTTAGGATTTTTTATAATCTGTACAGAACCTCTTATGGGATCCATCTCGTCCATTCCATTTATACACTGCAAATTTCCTAGTGACCTGGCATGCAGTCCTTGTGTTACGCCAGAGAATATTATTATTGTTCAAGATGAGCCTGCACCAGGTCAGTGTGAAATTTGCAAACTAAGGAGGTATTCAGTGTAAAAATGGACGAGCTGTAAAGCCGGATCGAAATGGATCCCAACAAGTTAAAAAGTATCAGTCGGTATTGCCGACAGATATATACCCTCAGCCTATGTTCGATTAAATAATCGAAATATATTTGACTAGTGCTACAATTATTCAAACGTTTGACCATCATAGAGCCGGTTCCGAAGGAATGGGCCAATATTGTCCATTTTGTATCAGACCCAAAAATATGATATAAATATTCCAACGTTCCTGGTATGGATTATATTGACTCACTCCCTCACTTTTTATGAGATATGTAATAATTTTTAGAAAATGTTAAAATGTGAGTGATGTACCATATAGAGTCTACCGGAATATTCCATTTTTATACCCTCCACCATACTATGGAGGGTATATTAAGTTTGTCATTCCGTTTGTAACTCCTCGAAATACTCATGTCAGACCCAACAAAGTATATATATTCTTGATCAGCGTAAAATTCTAAGTCGATTTAGCGATGTCCGTCTGTCTGTCTGTCTGTCTGTCTGTCTGTCCGTCTGTCTGTTGTAATC